AATTAAGATGTAAAACAAACAATATTTTAAGAAATGGATCTAATGCATATGTAGAATTCTGTTCTGTTCTGAATGTTCTGGGAAACTCCTGAAATCCACACACACACACAAACACACAATGAGTAAGCATGTTTATTTCACACAACCCACCCTGTAGTCATTCCCCATCTCCCAACTCTTTGTGAGCAGTCCTTTCAGGTCCATTCTCAAACGTCATAGATGTAACAAAGGCAATGACGGAAGTCAGGTCACAGTCTCTTTCGTGTACTGGCAGAACAACAGCCCCACCATACTTGGAATTCTTGGCAGACAAGGCAAACATAGTTTCAAGAGATTCAAGGTGCAACAAGGCCAACCTGACTCCTGCAGGTTCCAGACATGACAAAGGCAACTTGGCATCAATGGGCTCAAGTCCCAATGAAAGCAACCCAGTCCCAATTAGTTCAAAACTCAACAAACACAACATGGCTTCACTGGGTCCAAGGCACAATAGCAGCAGCATGACTCCAACAGGTTCAAGGCACAATGCAGGTAGCTTGGCATCAATGGGTTCACTGCACAACAACTGCAACATGATCTCAAAGAGTTTAAGGCATGAGTCAAGAGCTTTCACAGATGGACAGATTATGAATGTTTCTCTCCAACAACCTTCAGGATCCAAATGCTGAACTATGTAGGTGCAGACTGATGCACCTCATTAGGAGGGGTGAGGCTGTGAGTAGCCTCATCAGCCTCCATTGTGCCTCCTTCCACTTGGCTCTGTGTGACCTTGGTTGGGACCAGCAAATCCTCCTCTTCACTACTGACTAGAGGTCACAGATGAGCCGCTTCTCTAGACTGCAAGGCTGGCTAGTATCTGCACTCACTGGCTGTATCCCCATCTCTTCTTCTGCTGTGCAGTCAGCCGTTCACCCAGTCACTCACTCTTAGATTCTTCCAAAGTTCATGGCACAGTTGACCCTCCATACTAGCTACTGAGCCCTCTATATCCATCTGATCCCTGTCACATGTCCCCAGAGCCAGCTGTTCCTCATTGTCTGAGCTGGCACTTGAATGAGCCATTCCAGAGACAGTGTGGTGTACTTAAAATGCTAAGCTAGGACTAGAGATGCTCTTACCCTTGAGTCAGTCTTTTTCTCAACCCAGCCTGCCCCACAGAATGATGGTTTTCAGAGTAAAATTTAAACTATCAGTTAAACTGGGCTTGTTCCTACAGGAGAGATAATAGGAAATAACAAAAAGATGGGATGTCAACAATAGCCCAGAGTATCTTTTAGACTTGTGGAAAGATTCAGTTTGAAAGCAGCATAGTTAAATCATCCCTTCTAAATGAAACTTCAAATTAAATTGCATAATTGATTGGATGTATCAAAACAGATTAAATGCTTTCAAATTAGAAGAAATGCAATGGATTTTTTGCATATGTGCAGAAATATATTTATTGAATCAAATCAATTCTATTTAACATTTTTATTTTTATTTTATTGACTCATAAAATAGGATTTTAGTGATTTGTATACTCCCTAGAGCTGTTGGGATTCTTATATGACCATTGTTGTACTTGTTATCATTAGACTTTGAAGATCAATTTGTTTTTTAATTTATAGTCCTAAGCCAGAAATGAGCTGCCCACAGGCCCAAGTCACAGGCCGTATGAAGATGGCCAGCATTTCTTATGTGGCTCTCTGATCTCCTGAAGCAAGTTAGAGTAGGTGACTATATATAGTATAGAAGGGATGGAGTTGCATTGTCGAATACAAATCCTGAAATTCTTCACCTCTTAGAAATCCTTCCAAAACACTTTAAGTGAGAAATTAGGATGGAAAGAAAGAAAGAAAGAAGAAAGAAAGAAAGAAAGAAAGAAAGAAAGAAAGAAAGAAAGAAAGAAAGAAAGAAAGAAAGAGGGAGGGAGGGAGGGAGGGAGGGAGAGGGAGAGGGAGAGGGAGAGGGAGAGGGAGAGGGAGAGGGAGTGGGGGGAAAGAAAGAAAATCCTAAACCTAAGCCCTGACTACAATTTCAGGCAAGTTATATAAGACAAATTTCCAAAAGTAATAAAGTTTCTCTTAGATAGAGGGAAAGTTTTTGAAACTTGGAAGGCTTTTTATACTTATTACTCCAAAAATATATATAAAGTGGAGTGGAGTGGAGTGGAGGAGAGGAGAGGAGAGGAGAGGAGAGGAGAGGAGAGGAGAGGAGAGGATGTTGGTATAAACTTTCTTATATGGATACAAAACACCTCCAAAGGACACAAAGCCAATAGAATTTTAAATGGAATTTTATCATAAAAGAGTATTATAATGCAAACAAAATGACATTGTCCTCTTTCTCCTTTATTTTTAGCTTTAAAACCACTAGCAAAGGATATGTGACAAGCAAATGAAATCTTAGAAACTAGACTAACAAATCGAGTATAAATTAAAACTATAAGCAGATGAAACTTTATTCATAATTATCCACACAAAGGCCTCTTAGAAGTCATAATAGAAAGTATACAGTAGTATATTTTGTTATCAGTATATCAAATCAATAAGAACCAGATTCAAGAAGTTAACTGAGGAAGAAAACTTTACTTATAGAAAACAAGAGGCTTTGTCAGCAGTGGTGGGTTTCAAAATTTTTTGCTACCGGTTCTGTGGGTGTGGCTTGGTGGGTGTGGCATGGCTTGGTAGGCGTGGCAGGGGAAGGATACTGTAAAATCTCCATTCCCTCCCCAATTCAGGAGAAGGTTACCGTAAAATCCCCATTTCCTCCCAATCAGCTGGGATTTGGGAGGCAGAGAATAGATGGAGGTGGGGCCAATCAGAGATGGTATTTACCGGTTGTCCGAACTACACAAAATTTCCGCTACCGGTTCTCCAGAACTGGTCAGAACCTACTGAATACCACCTCTGTTTGTCAGTACTCAGTTTTTGGTGAGTACTTCCAGCAAACAACTTGCAGCAAAATTGTTTTGCCCTTTCAACCTTCAAAGTTTGCTTCTAGACAGAAAACCTAGACAGAAGACCCCAGGTCATCCTGTTTAAACTCATCTCAAGTCTAACACTTGGGAGCAAGGGTACCAAAGAATGGAAGGGCTTAATTAGCCAAGAGCCATACACAAATGGGGCCATCGGTCAGCCTCACCAGCCACCAGAAATCCCAAATAACAGTTTTCTGTATTAAGATACAGAAAAGGAATACAGTGATGCATTCTTGGAAAGCAAAATCTACAGCTTGGAGTCAGGTAGTGATCTTATATAAATTACATCATTTACTATCAATAAATGGATGCATATTTGAATTAGATCATTTGATATGTAACAATAGGAGGATCAATAAGAGAGTTAGAGAAAATTGATGGATGTAATGGCATGAAAACTGCTGGATGTAATGGCATGTTACCCCAGTATTAATTGCAAAAATAAGTACATCATAAAGAAATTATTGGAAATATAATAAATTGTGGATCATTTTTTCATGTTCGGTGGCAATGTATGAAGGAGTGACAATATTGAGAAATGAGGGTTCATAGTGGAATAAAACAGATTTTAAATGTGGATTTTACTTTTCAGCCTGCTATTTGGTAACAGCTGCTAGGATTCTTTATGTTTCTCATGGGAAGTTACAAATTCCTTCCATAGAAGAAAAGGAAAACTTACGGCAATATGTATCAATTCAGTGGTGAAATGTAAAATTTGTTACTACCGGTTCTGTGGGCATGGCTTGGTGAAGGGGTAATGTAACTGGTGGGCATGGTCAACTTTTATTTTTCTTTTAAAAGCATTTTTTCTACAACCTCTTCAGCTGACGCTTTTTTTCTTTTACTTTTAAAAGCATTTGCTTTTAAAAGTTAAAAAAAGCCTCTGATGATCGCACGGCTCAGCTGGGCATGGAGGGGGAACAAGGATTTCTGCTACCAGTTATCTGAACCACCCACCGCCATCACTACCAGATCGGGCGATCCAGTCCGAACCAGGAGCATTTCACCCCTGTATCAATGTCAAAACTAATTTCATACCTGAAAAACAAATCTGCTAGAGTCTAAATCTCTTTTTTGTTAATGCTCACCCAGATATGGTAGACCTGTCAATTGTTTCATAGTTATATGTGTCTGCAGCCTTATTCTTGATTGCAAATAACTTTGATCTTATAAAAGAGTAAAGGGAAAGGGGAATATATGTACTGTATGTATGCATCAGTGGTGGATTGCCCCTGGTTCGGACCGGTTCACAAGAACCGGTAGTAAAACCGGCAGGAGGCTCCACCCACCAATCCCCACGTCATCAGGAAGCTTCTGTGCATGCGTGCGCGTGGTCCCATTGTGAATTGGTAGTAAAGGTAAGTACAACCCACCCCTGGTATGCATGTATGCATATGCATATGTATATGTAACATAATGAAATAATATTCTCCAAAACATAAGGCACAAAGAGCCTTGGTGGCACAGCAGACTAAAGTGCTGTTAAGTAACACCAACTGCCTGCAATTACTGCAAGTTCAAATCTCACCAGGCTCAAGGTTGACTCAGCCTTCCATCCTTTTGAGGTAGGTAAAATGAGGACCTGGATTGTGCGGGCAATAAGCTGACTTTGTATAAAAAAGAACACTGCTTGGGGGGGGGAGGCGAAAGCCCTACGAAGCAGGTATATACAAAAGTATGAAGGCTATTGCTTAACGCATTGTAAGCCGCCCTGAGTCTCCGGAGAAGGGTGGCATATAAATTGAACCAATACATAAATAAATAAATAATAACAGAAAGGAAAATTTATGAACACTGAAGTTGTTCATGTTGCTGCATTCTTGTAGAATCCAGGTTGAATAGCTATGCCTTCGAACCATACTCAGGATTTGTGAGCATTTAGAATCTACATTCAGGAATAAAATGTGAAAACACTAGGAAGTTTTCATTGATTCTTAAGGACCCTTTTAACATTCCTGGTATGAAATTATAAACAGTTGTAGATGTAATGTTAAACAATCAAGAAAGCAGCCTGCTCACTATTTACATTTTCTCTACTCACCAGTTGTAAGAGACTCTTTCAGCTCAAGTTGCCATGGTGATCATACAGCACTCTGATTTATTGACATTCATACTTCCCTCTTCTTAGCCACTAGATCATGTAACCTCTTAACTTGCCAGTATTTTATTCTGCTGCAGGGGGGAAAAAGAATTTGGCCAGCAAATCTTTCTGGAGAAGTTTTTAGCTTTTTCCACATATGTAACAGGGGAGATGAGAGATAATGCCTGTATGTATTAATCAATAATTAAGACTATTAATCGGGCTAAGGTACAATGTGTCCCTGAAGATAATGATAAAAATGAAGAGAACCCATTCAGACTATTGTGCCACATTCTTCATTTTAATGGAAATTGCTTTCAATTTTTCTTTTTCCCCCAAAGAAGAATATTTAAATGAAATTCTATGAATTGTGGGAGAGAAGCTGTTCCAGTCAGGAGGAGTCAAGCAGAAGATCAGTCTGAAAACTTTATGTGACACAAAATCCAACCCTTCTTGACTGTTGCTGAACCTTACGTAATCTTCCCAGTGGCACCCTGCCAGTCTGGGAAGATTACTGTGAAATAGGCATCAAGCAATAAAGTAGATTCTGTGCTACTGTGCTCTGATTGTTCACATCTGACATGAATAGGATGAAGAAATCTTCATAAGGTGTCAGAAATGTATATGTGTCTGACAGCCAGCATTCCTTCCATAACTTCCTATTCTTCAGTCAAACTCTCAATAAGACATCATAATATAATTTTCTTTATGAATCTTTTCAGAAGAGATATTCAGGCAGGGATGATACAAAGTGGTAAAAGATGTCTAATAAAGAAATGGAAGAACACTCGTTGCTACTTCACAAAAAGAAAGCTAGTTATCAGTCATTCAAAAGAAAGAGAATAGAGCTAAAAAGCAAGTAGAAAAAAAGTCTAGAAGCAAGATTTCCATTTAAAAGTTTTCAAAAGTAAAATGTCACAATTTTTAGAAGTGAATTATAGAGCTGTGACTGTATCAAATTTTAAATGAATTATTTATTTGATTTTAATTTCAAACATATTTGAAATAGTTGTAATGTAATAAATACACTAACTGATGAGAGCTAAATAGCTTCAAATAGATCTATACTAGTCTCCCTTTATTTCTCTATCAGCGAAATATAAATTTTATATTTAGTTAGTTTAGTTTAGTTTAGCTTATTTGATTTATATACCACCCTACTCCCGAAGGACTCAGGGTGGTGAACAGCCACAAGATAAAAACACATAAATACAAAATTTAAAAACAGAATAAAACCGAATTAAACAATTTGGCTGAAAACATATTTAAACCACCCCAATAAATTAAGGATGAATTAAAATTTGTGTTTTAAAAAGGGAAAAAGGGAAAAATTAGGCCAGGCCAGCGTGATGGAATAAAAAGGTCTTGAGAGCTTGGCGGAAGGTGCGTAGATCCGGGATCCTCCATATCTCTGGGGGGAGTTCATTCCAGATAGTAGGTGCCCCCACAGAGAAGGCTCCCCCCCCTGGGGGCCACCAGTCGACATTGTTTGGCTGACGGCACCTGGAGGAGCCCCTCTCTATGAGAGCGTACGGGCCGGTGGGATGCTACTGGTGGCAGCCGGCGGTCCCTTAGATAACCAGTTCCTAAGCCATGGTGCAGCTCGCGCAGAAGAGGTGTTATATGGGAATGCCATGTCGCTCCCATAACCACCTGCGCGGCCGCACTCTGCGCCAGTTGGAGCCTCCGGGTGCTCCTCAAGGGGAGCCCCTTGTAGAGAGCGTTGCAGTAGTCCAGGCGGGAAGTGACGAGGGCATGAGTGACCGTGCGTAAGGAGTCCCGATCCAGAAAGGGACGCAACTGGCGAATCAGGCAAACCTGATGAAAAAAATATTTATATTATACACACACACACACACACACACACACACACACACATTTGTTTTCGTAGATTTTCACAGGTACAAATATGCAAGTCTTGGCGTATTCGGGTCTTTTCCCGTGAAAGATTGAGAGTATCTTGGCGACGTTTCGACGAGGTCCCACTCGTCATCTTCAGGCTGATGTCTTTGGCTTGGGCTTTGCTTGCACAAGCACGAAGCCGAAGACACCAGCCTGAAGATGACGAGTGGGACCTTGTCGAAACGTCACCAGGATACTCTCAATCTTACATGGGAAAAGACCCAAATACGCCAAGACTTTCATATACACACACAAACACCCACACCCACCCACCCACCCACCCACACACACACATACATACATCCATATACACATACATACGTACATACATACTTACATACATACCCATATATACTTGAGTATATGCTGCTGAAAGACTTCTTTTCCACCCAGCCACTGGCAGTAGCAACCAGTAGCAACCCACCACTGCCGTAGATGACTGGGAAAGACCGGAGAACACCTGCACTCAAATATAAGCCGAGGGGTACTTTTTCAGCATAAAAAATGTGCTGAAAAACTCGGCTTATACACAAGTATATATGGTACATACGGTACATACATACAGTGGTGGGATTCAAATAATTTAACAACCGGTTCTCTGCCCTAATGATTTCTTCCAACAACCAGTTCACCAAACTGCTCAGAAAGTTAACAACCGGTTCTCCCGAAATGGTGTGAACTGGCTGAATCCCACTACTATATACTGTATATATTGGTCATTTGGTGTAATTTTCTTCCCCTTCATTCCTTTTATATCTCCAGGGCAGTTGTTATCACAATAGGGCTTGACTTAATGGGGCACTTGATACATTCAGATAAATACATGCTCAGTTCTAGTGTCTTTAGTTTCAGAAGATTCAGGACATTTAAAAGAAGAGAATAATTTTCTAAATTTAGTAAGTGGTAGAAAGCTGCTTGTTTGCATTTTTGTCTTTTAATAACAATTTACTTCTACATTTGTTTTCTGTGTTTACTACTCAGCTTCTAAAAATCCCATTTGAGTTAAAAGGCTTCATGCTGAAAGAATTCATGCTTTTATTTTTCGAATTGCCATTGTCCTCTTTGCTTAAGTAGAGAAAATGGTTTAAAAACACAGCTACACAGAAAAGCTCTCAGGAATTCTGTACCTTTCCAACTCTGAAATAGCAGCAGTGATTTAAAAGCATGTGTGGAATGGAGAGAAGAAAATATAATCTTGGGTAAATAAGTTTTATTTTTTCTTAGTCTGCTATAAATTGGGCTCTTTTAAAGAAATATTCAAGTGCTTTTAAAAAATGCCACTTACAAATGTTTATGACACATTACAAACACAGAAGTTATATAAAGTTGTGAAGTTACAATAATTCATTATAATTGGGGGTCATAGTAGAAGAGTTCAGTAAGGTCAAATTCCTAAATGAATGGGCCATGTGATCTGTAATTCAAATGCAGATCAACCCATGTCCTCTTTTGCAAAGCTATTAAATTGTACAAGGAAAAATAAAGTTGACTGAAAGGATTTGGCTTTTTAAAAATCTATTTCTTTAATCAGTTTATATAGTTATCCAGCTCAATTAGTGACTGAATGGCAAAAAATAGCAAACTAAAAAAAAAAAACAAACAAGTGCAACAAAAATTAAAATACATAGCAGCCAAAGAAATACAACATCCATAATTACTAACGTAGTTTGGAAATAGGCCCCTTCATACACTGGGGCCCTGGACTTAGCCACTAAACTAAATATTTAGGGCTTAATTACCCTAATTGCTCAATACAAATGATCTTATATTCAGTATTTTACTTTTTATTACCAGTAACTCAAAACTAAAAAAAGGAAAGTGAATATATCTTCTAATTTAGCCAGCTAATTAAAGCTGATCTCATCAATGAAGCATCTCTAGTCAATCCATACAGTAATTAAAGTTTGTTCTCAGTTCTGTTCCACAGTATTTAAATAGCATTTACACAAATGTTTATGAAAAGCAAATAATAATATAAGTATTGCACATGTCATTAAATAGAACCTCAGAAACTGAAGAAGAAGAAAAAACAACTGTTGCCTGATTACTGAGTGTTTTGAACAAAAAAGACATTAAAAGAAACAGGTCTGTGGTTCTGATTCAGTAACTATGGGGGGAAAAAGGCTAAAGTGAGAATTGAAATTTGGCTATGAAGTTCAAGCCTTCCCTCACTCATTATAATATTGCAAGAAATATCCTTCTGGGTTCAGCTCCAAGTGGGGAAAAAGACACTGGAAACATGGAGACTGCTTGGAAAGATGGTTTAATGGTGGACAGGATCACATGGTTTGAGTTCCTGAGGGAGAGGAGATACAGCAAATCCCCGGGTTTTATGCTTTCTCTGGCTTTGAACTTCCTGAGGCCCAGAAAGAGTATCCTGATTGGTTGTCAGACTCCCAGGGGGTGGGGGTCTTAGCTAGCTTTGTTGGCTGATGTAATCTTCCCAGGTACCATGTGGTGAGTTTCTGTTGCTATTGTGTTGCAGATGCAGATCCTATTGTCAAAGATTGAGTTTCTGCCTCTTGCCCATTAACAAAGGTGTGTGTGGGGGAGGCAGGAAGCTGCTTTGTCTTTAAAACATGTTTCTCCATTTCTCATCCAGGAAAATATAATATTCTGCCTTTTTAATATTTCCTAAAATATTTCATCCTTCCAGGAAAGGGGTAGGTGCTAACTTCCTACAATAGAGAACAGCTGATTAAGCTCCATATATGAACATATTTAGAATCACACTGTTGGAAGAAACATCCTTCTAGGTTCTGCTCCAAGTGGGGAAAACAGACACTGGAAACATGGAGACTGCTTGGAAAGATGGTTTAATGGTGGACAGGGTCACATGGCTTGAGTTCCTGAACAGAAAAGGGCAGATACAGTAAATCCTTGGGTTTTTATGCTCTCTGGCTCTGCATTACTTGGGGCCCCGAAAGAGTATCCTGATTGGTTGCCAGACTCCCAGGGGGTGGAGGTCTTGCTGGCTGATGCAATCTTCCCAGGTGCCATGTGGTGAGCCTGTCTAGATGGGTCCCATTGTGTTAGTTTCTGTTGCTATTGTGTTGCAAATGTCCTTTGACAAAGGATTGGGTTTCTGCCTCTGTCCCATTAACAAAGGGTGGGGGCAGGAA